CTCGATCGGGTTTCGCATATTTGACAATGGAATTAGGGGGTGATAATCTAGATCAACATTTAAATAAAAGAGGTGATATGTCACCAACACATCAGCAAAAAATATGGAAACAGTTGGTGAACATTCTGGTTGCACTGAAAACGCATAATATTGTACGAGAAAGTAGTTACACAATATATCTTCTTCAATTGCTAATGTAATTTTATGCGTAGATTCATCTTGATTTAAAACCCGCAAATTTGGTGTTTTTCGGACCAGTTATGAAACTGGTCGATATGGGTATTGCACAAAAAGGAAATAGTATCGGGTACGTTAATGTGCTTGCTCAAATCCTTTTATAGTGTCTGCTATTTTTAGCCTTGGTGGGGCTGGAACGCAAGGTTTTAGTGCTCCAGAGATGTTGTTGCCAAAAGGTCGTTTTGTACGAAATTCGTACAAGGCTGACGTATATTCGGCCGGTGCTATTCTCTATTATATGACATACAGAGTGCCACCAGCTTATCGAGGAGAAACTTCGTCATATCGTCCACCGCCAGGCATCCCAATGGTTCGTGATAAACTCATAAACGATGTTCTAAAGCAGTGTCTTCAAAAAGATCCTTCAAGAAGGCCGAATTTACAGTGGCTGTTGAGACATCCGTACACAAGGAACTGAAGCGGCATTGCTGTTGTTTCTTGTTTTATTCAGATTAACTGGTTTTCTTATGTGTTTCTTCTTTCTTTGACTTTAAGCAAAAAGAAAGGCGAACAAGTAATGTTTAGTTTATGCAGTAATCACTGCTTCGATACCCTATCCAAAAATGACAGTATCGTTTGATGCCATCAGAAAGACGATACAAATCGATCTTGTCTCTTTCTCTGACTGTTCATTTCAAACAAAAAATAGCATCACAGCGATCCTCTGCAGAAAAAATCAATCAAAAATGGTCAATTTGATTGAACTGTTATTTCGTCTCTTATTCTTTAAAACTTAATACCACAGCGAGAGACAACAAACAAATTGCTTACTAAATTTACTCTTTTTCTGTTACATGGTCGGAGAAAGGATTAACTATTTTTTTCTTAGTAATCATCTGAGTCGAATGTGCATAGTTCTTAGTCAGCAGAAATGCATACGCATTGTCACTTCTCATATTACTAACTACAAATGAGCGTACAATTTCATATGTAAGAATATTCCATTTCAGTCTTTGTTTATATTTATTTTACATTGGTTCGAAGAGCTTGGTCTATAAGGTAAATGATTGTATACAGTACAAGACGCTTCCAGGATAGAGAAATCTCTGCTCAACATAAAATAGAACTCTAGTGTATTTGTCTTTATCTTCATCTCGCATACCCAAGGAGAAAAAAAATATCGACTATCGGGCGATCTAGCTAGCTAACTCAATATACTACCCGATATACCTAGCTAGCAATTCGAATTGGGTTATTTACTATCGGGTGATATAGCTAGCTAACACGA